ACTTTATATGAATGAAGTATTTCACAAGTTTAAAATTTACAACCCCCAAGTCCAATCAAGATATATGTATTGCACAGTGTAAAACATTAAACAAGAAAGGAGATCCGAAAGATTAAAGACTGAATTATATTAGTTTATGCTGTTATTCATCTGCTATAAGTATTTAGATTCTTTTTCTAGTGTAGTCTCATTTAAGGCAAATATAGGAATATAGAGAAAAATCACAATGTCACAACTAAAACGTCATGAGCTCTCATTTAAAAAAGAATTTAGAAGTCTTTGAAAGCCAAATGCAAAAAAATTAATTCACTCTCTTATTATTATTTTTTTCTAGCCAGTTCTTACAGCACAGAATTAATTTAACTTCAGAGTACCTATGCAGCTGACAGCACTCCTGGCTTCTGAAATTCCCCAAAAGAAACTGACTTGGTGGACAAGTATTGCAGCTGTTAGAAGCAGCCTAGGGACAGATCACTTAAAAAAAAAATCTATTCTACAAAAACACTCAAGAGTCTGAGCTGTAATTTTCAGAAACAGTTTTTAAATGTCACCCTCCTGGATTAACATACTTTCTTCCTTTTGGAAATGTAAATTAATTTCCAAATTGTTAATGCTAAGGAATGTATATGCATTAAACACTGAGCCTGGCATATGGCAGGTATTCAATAAATATTTATGGAATTGAATTAATCCAGCAATACTCCTAGGGGGTTGCCATTTCAGGGACTCACCTGGCTCACATGATGTAGAAGGATAATTCCCTTTTTCTACTTCACTCTAGCGTTCATTTTCGAACCCCTAGACCATTAGACCTGGTTATGTTTCTAATGCTAGTATTCTAGACAATACAAAGGATGCCATATGGAACAATAGTTATGACAGTAGGTGAGCTTTATTCTAAATGTACTATATTCTATCTCAAGTGCAAGAATTTTGTAAAACTTAAACACTGGTTCTGCACTAGGACTGGCGCGGCAGATTGAAAAATCAGAGCTGACTCATATAAAACTCAGGAAACGTTGCATGGTAAAATTATGATCCAATAAGATTTAAATAAAACATAGAAATTATTTTTTAAAGATTTCTTTGAATAAGAATCTATACTCAAGGTGTAATAACAACCAATTTTCTTCCACATATCCTCATAGAGCTAAAGCTACTGTTAGTATTAAAAAGAAGTATATTTAAATGTGCAAAGGTTAAAAAACACTCATGAATCTCATTTAATTCTTTTCGGAAATGAATGCACATAATGAGGCTGGACAGCTATCTTGCTCTCTACAGTATCATCAATATATTCTTTCCTAGCCGTCAGAACTGTTGGGTGAGGAGGCTGGCATGGCTTCTCAAATAATCCCATCCTTGTATGAGTTAAGAGTCAAGGTAGACATTTGGTACATTTGCATTTTACTGACATCACCATTCCACAAAGTAAGTTATTGCTTTCCTTCTTATCACTAAAGTGTCCCTAAATTTCTGCTTACCCTTTCTCACTCTGTAATTTGGCTTCAATGTATTCCTTTTCACCACATCTCCTCTCCACAAAGTAACTGTCTACTGAGCTAGAGAAACTAGATTTTGAATTAAGAATGCTAAACTTTAAATATACTCACTCACCCAACTGCATTACACTCTATAAGGGACTTTCTCACAACTTTATCAATTATCTTTTTCTTCATTACCTTGTCCTGCTGGGCATGAGATCAGACTACAAATGTACCAAAATTAAACATAAAGTTCTCCCTTTAGAAAATTTACCTACCACCCTCTCCCTTACATGCACATCCAAACACACATACACTTCAATGTTTAAGCATCGTGATGGCTGCTCTGTTGAGTTAACTCAACATGTTACATGGCTTCTGTCTGATGAACGTACTGGGGGCTGAACTTAAAATTTTCTACTGACAAAAGAAACCAAGAAACAAACTAGAGTATAGAATTCAAGTCATACTCTCTTTAAATTTCACTCAATCAATTCAAATGCATGTACTAGTATTGTAAACATTTTATAAAATAGTTGACATAATAATATGAACAATTATTTTTTAGGATTTTAATTTTTAAGGCAATAATTTCATCTCTACAATCATTCTCACCTCTTCAGTCCAGCAATAGACAATAATTTGATTTCTGGATACAATGAAAAAATTCTTGGCTTCAGGAAGCCTCAAATAATACCAAGAAATTTTAACAGCCAAATGAACAACTTGGCTGAAGACTGGAATTGCTCTTTCTGAGCACAGACTTTCAGTTCACTGCAAGTTGAGGGGTAGACATGAATAACAGTCTCTTCACACACAGGCTAAAGCCACCAATCAAGGACATACTTCATGAACACACATTAGTATCAAGAATGTCTCTTCTCATGAAGATGCTCTTTTTTTATTCTTGCTACAGCAACATAATCACCATCAGAGACATGAATTTCTAAAAAAAGAAACAATCTATATGTATTCCTAAATAAATATAGTCCTGAAAAAAATATTATCACAATAAAACAAAAATGTATATGATGAACCTGTTTTCCTATTGGGAAAAGAAACTCCTTCAATATTAAAGAAAAACAGAAAACATTTCACAAAATTAAAATTATAAAGAAAACTAATATTAAAATTATTGGTTTACACAAAACAACAAAAGTCAAGAACTAGTATTACTTGGTAAGACAGTACACACAATACAGGCTCTCAATAAATGCTATTATAAAGGTTCGTTTTTATCATAATTATTCTGCCTTTTATTGTGCACACAATTCAGGCACTTTCATATAGTTAATCCACCCTATAAAACATCAGAAGAAATTATCCTAACTATATCAACAAAGAAACATGCTCAAAAAAGGTTAAGCAATTTGCCCCAGGTCCTGTAGTTTATGATTACTTCGCTCATGACTGTACTATCTCCCACCAAAGTTCAAGATCTTTCTGTACCACGCTGACCACCAAAGCAGTTTTTGCTATATGCCTCAATTTTTAAATTTTTACTTAAAAGATCATTTCTTTATACATATATTTTCTATCTCAGGTCAACAACTATGTATTATGTACTAGTACTACAATCACTGGGTGCACAAGGAAACAAGACAATGTGGCCCGTGTCCCAAAAGTTCCACTCTGGTTTGGCTAGATTTGTTCACGTACATTGGTATTAGTTGCACATTCCCCAGGCCCCGGTCCCCCAGCACACACAAGATATAATGAAAACTATATGACGTTGAGATGACATTTAGGAGGATTCGTTTAGTCTGGCAACTCACCATGGAGGGGCCTCCCCTTACCCTCAACTTCACCAAACCTCACCCATCTGGCTACTATGAGTGATGCAAAGCTTTAGACAAACCTTTTCCCTCTGCCTTTTTCAATAGGTAAGGGAAAATTATTTCTAAAAACATTTTTTAAATATCATAAACACATCAATTGAAAGAAATAACACTTTTCTTAAATGAAACCTATTAGGTATGACATAACCAGAGCATGCCTTCTTGTCAAGCAAGCACAACACACATCTACTTTTCTGAAAGTGGATCTAGGCTTTCTGTATATGTCAAAACTTGAGAGAAAAATTGTTTTCAAAGTTGTCAGTCTCCTGGTTAAAATACATAAATTTTAAACTTAAAATCTGCAAACCAAGAATGTTATATATCTTTCAGCAGTTTTTATATATAATGTTTAGGAACATCCTTAACCCAGAAACAGAAACTAAAAGGTATCTGTGTTTCTAAATATATGATCAACATGCCATTTAATCTACCTAGTTTAGAAGAGAAAACACAACAAACCAAGGAGGAAAATAAAGTACAACAAAACCATGTTAAATGAAACCTTATTGATTCAGAATCTGCGATAATTTGAAAGGGGTCTGAGTAAAGCTTAAATGCTTAAAATTTCCCTGTATCTCCATGCTTAGTACATAATTTCCCCCTGAGAAATTCATATCTCACATATTATACCTTTAAACTTCTATTCCTCTACTACCTATATTTTTTCCAACACATAAATATCTGCCTGACCTGGTCCCTTTCCTCATCAAACCACTCAAGTACCCAGCTACATAAACACAATCATTCCCAAGTTCTTTATCCTCTGAACACCTCTGAAGGGATACGCAAAACTCACACACATGCTGCCAGACACCCAATAAAACAACTCAGTTAGGATTTAACATGAAATTCTAACAGATATCTACAAACATCCTTTTGCCCTTGCAATCTTTGAAAAAGATCCACATTTTGATTCATAAAAAGAAAATTTAGTTTCAACAATTTAATAACCACTTTGTAGGAAAAAATCAATTATTTCCCACGATTAATGTAGTTATTCATAGTAACTGTTACAAACGCAGCTGTGGTGTCAAGGAGTTTTAGTACATGTTTCTAAACTAAATATAAAATTAGGAAAATATGCATTTGAAAATTTGTACAAAAAAATCTTTAGTACTGTTATTGGTCTTAATTTTAATGTAAATTAAATTCTACCAAGATATACTATTAAACCATGGTACCAAAAATAATTAAAGAGCACAGTCTAATCAAAGTAAGCATGGTTACAACTAGAACCAAATTATATGTATTTAATTTCCAGATAAGTCCAAAATTTTTAAATTCTCAGAAAATATATAAAATTATACATAATCACAATCATACCACAAAGTTAGCAGCATCCTTTAAACTTAAAGTTTTTATTGTTAATATGGGCTTTCAACATAATTCTTAATATAAATATTTCATTCCATTTCCCACATTCAAGTACTAAATTATGTCAAAGTTAAAATCTTGAGATCAATAAATTTACTCTACTAAAGTTATTTTAATCCACAATATTTTAAAGGTCATGATCCCCCACACAGATTGCCAAATAACCTGCACATATAAACAAAAATGCAATTTTAACAATAGCTAGCACTCACTTAAAATAATTACTTATCATGAGAAATGTACCAAAGGCATAGCAAATTTCCTTTGAAAAATGGACGCAATTTATTTTAGAATAGTCACTCACCACTTCTTCTAGTGCAGCACTTCGCCCAAAAGAACAAGTGAGGTGTGTGAGGCAGTTAACAAAGGAGGAGAAAAGTTCATTTGGAATGGCAGTTAAAACATTTCGAGGGAACACAGTTATCAGGTTGCTGATAATGCTGGAGATTCCCACAGCTTCAGAATCTTCTATTTCAATTCTACAAATCAAGTAATGAGCATTATTAAGTGGTAGCAGAAGAAAAGTCACAATATTTGCATGCATGCAAATATTATCACCTATTCATTTTTAAAAGGCATGTCTGTGTATTAATTTAAAATTACCCATATAACTATACTTCAAAATATAAAAAGGAAAAAAAGCACTAGTTTTTTTTTTTCCTCCACTGTTAAAGAAAAAACTGAAAGTTCCTTTTTCAGTTATAAAGGGCAAGTATACCTACCCATTGATAGTATTCAGTAATCCCTCAATGAAGTGTGCTAGATAATCAACTTGTGATCCTTCATCAGGGAAGATGGGTCCATGAAGAGAAGCTAACTGGGCAAGGCACTGCAGAGAATCTTGTGCCATATCTGAATCTTCTCTGATTTTTCGATGTACCTGTTAGAAAGAATTACTAATCCATAAAAATAAATTCTTCTTTTGTAAGGGTCACGTGTCTATCATGCCGAATGAGGTAAGAGAAAAATTCACTGTAGCTGGTTATTTCTAGAAAATTAATTGCTGAATTAAACTAAATTTGAAAATTGTCCCTCAGTCCACTTTACATTATAGGACGTGATTTTAAACATATCAATTAATTTTTCACTGAGGGCTACCTACAATTTGAAAATTGAACTGTCTCCAGCATGTTATGACAAAGAGAGAAACAGATGCCAGCCAGTCAGACGTACTGCTTCTTCTAAAAACAGCAACAACGACAGTCATCTGTATTATGTTAACTATGCCTAGCTACAGCTTCTTGCTAAAGTTAGCAGACAAGTTCAATCAAGAGTATATAGATGCTACTTTAGTGGAAGTAAACAGTTGCACACTTAGAAAACCAATATACCTGTCAATCCCCAGACACTCATTCATTCAACCAATACATAAGCACTCTTTCATTAACTCTGAGATGGCCTACAATTTGTTTGATTCTCATTTTATCCTACATCATTATTAATAAATACTAAAATTTTTTAAATAAAACTTTTATTTAAATCCACTTTCAAGCTCATCCAGCTTTTATTTCAATGATGCAATACTGATGTGAAACACCTGGTATACAGTGTTATGTATGAAGGAAATGCTCCCAAAATATTGCTCCCTAATTTTACAGTGTTATTAATATTCTCAGATTTTAAAGATGGTTCATTTCTGTGACCTGACATAATTAAAATAAGAAAAATATATTTAGTAAAGAAATCATAGGTAATTATTTATCTTAATCCACCACCACATTTACTGACCATTTTTCACTTTGTACAAGTATTTGACTTCTCTAGACCTTCTTTTCCTACACCAATCTTTCTGCTTTCTGAATGGCACACCATATTAAACACTTATTCTCTATTTGTTTCAGGTTATGTTCACCGACTCTACAATCATTTATAAATTACTTGAAGTTAGAAGGTTTCTCTTAAATATTCACTGGGACAGTGCTGGGACACAGTGAACAGACACTCAACAAATCCTTATTCACTAACTGATTCCATTAATCTTTAATCCCTGAACTTCTTAAGGTTCTAAGAAATTTAAAATATTAAAAACTCAGTAAAAGTTACAAAGTTAATTTATCTACTGACATGCTTAAAATAAGTTATCCTCTTTGGTCTAGAACAGGAGTTGGCAAACCACGGCCCACAGGCCAAATCTGGCTTCCTGCCTGTTTTTGTATGGCCTGTGAGGTAAGAATGGCTTTTACGTTTTTATGTGGTTGGGAAAAACAAAATCAAACAATAATATTTCAAGACATGCAAAAATTATACAAAATTCACATTTTAATGACTGTCAATAAAGTTTTACTGGAACACTGCCACACTTGTTTGTTGAGGTATCATCTACAGCTGCTTCTGTACTAGAATGGCAGAGCTGAATAGTAGTCTCAGAGCACCTATGACCTGCAAAGCTTAATACTCAACGCCTGGCCTTTACAGAAAGTTTGCCAACCCCTGGTCTAGAACAACACAAATGTTTTTCAAAATATATTCTACTATATTTTAAGTTTTATATAGTAAATTAAAAGTACAATATACAAATTCATATATCCACACTGTCTAATTCATGAACTTTTGAACAAAGCTCATTCTTAAGTTCCTTATCTGAAAACTGTAACAATTTCTGCCATTGTGCCTTTAATCTAATCAACAGTCAAACATAATATCCAGGGAAACATTCTATCAATGGATACAGCACAATCTAGGACAAGAGAGGGCTTCTTTTCTATCGTAGAGCCAAATGGTTGCTTGTACCTAGTCTAGAAAGTGAAGAATGAAAAGAAAGAATACCTTCAAAGAAACAGCAAATATTGACTATGTGATAAAATAAAATAAGAAACTGCAGAGCCTGCCTGTACTGTTCAAACTTAATTTATGTTCTCTGAAATATGAATCACATAAAACTCATGATAAATCAATGATTAATTTTTATATAATACAGATTTTCGCCCTTCTTCCAATGTCAGCATTACAAAGCGTTCTACCATATCTGAATTATATTACACAAATTAAAAACTGAATTGATGACCTGAATAGGGAAAGAAGCAAAGGGATTAGGAAAACCAAAGTTTAGCAGAACACCCAGGGAAGTGATTGCTGAAGTAAGACATGGAATAAAGAGAAGCAAGTAAGTAAGATGATAAATTCTATTGGACCATGTTGAATCGGAGATGTCTGTGGGCCATCCAAATTAAAACATCCAGTAAGTGCTTGGATTATAAGACTCTGGAACTCTGGAGAAGCCTGTGCTGAATATAGATTTAGGAGTCATCAGTGTGCAGAAGTGGTGCTTGAGGGCCTACGTGTAGAAGAGATAGCCCCAGGAAAGTGTATACAGTAAGCAAAGTTGAGAACTAAGATAGCAACACCAGTATTTTATGCAAAAGCAGAGAAAGAAGAGACCGTAAACAAGATCAGAAAGAATTTGTTAAAAAGGTAGAAGGGAAAACTAAGGAGAGTGATTTTTCCAACATCAAATGAGAGAAAGAAAAATTGAGAAGTTCGTAAACTTCTGAGGGGCAGAATGCAACCTAATATATTCCTAAATTCAGATATGATCAACAGATTTCAAGTCTTGATTTCATGCAATTTATGTCTATTTATGTTTATTGATGCAAATTTATAGAAACAGTGATATCCAGTGGGAAACTGCTTTAAATTAGGAAATGAACTCACATAACTGAAAATAAATTGAAAACTGAATGACATAAAAAGATGAGCTACTGCCATTTTTGTAACAAATAACAAAATTAAAATTGTTTATAAACTGCTTAAATGAAAATAACAGGCCACAGACACAAAACTGTTAAAATAACGAAGTGAAAAAGGGTTAACTTTCAAATTCAAAAGTTATCTGCTTGTGGCAGTCCACAGCTGACAGGAGCAGCTGTCTAGTTTGTCTAGACAGCTGTTCAGATTTGGAGTAGTTGTTTCCAGTACTGCCAGCAAGTTTTTCACCTTTTCAAAAACTGCTGGAATGGGATCTACTTTCAGTCAAATAAATAATGCAGAGAGTTGAACTTGGATACAAATCAAAACAATTTCTGTCAGATGAGGCAGGCAACAGAATTTTAAAATTTACCTATAATTATCTCTTTGACACTGATAGTGTTGTTAGTCATCATTTCTCTGATTTACGCAAATGCAAGGTAATGCTCTGCCTGAGCATTTCTAGAGAAAACATCTTTATGTATACTCACAGGTAAATAACCTTGTTCTACGTATTTTCTATAACAACATGTCAGTGGTGCAAAAATGGTTTAAAAAAGTCAATTTTTTAAAACAAATGAAAAGGTAAGAAACTATAATTAACGGTTGGGATTAAGCAAAATAGCTTTCTTTTTTTCTCTTTAATTGGTTTTTACCTGTATTTTTGCCCCAGTCCTTATATCTAACTTACTTGTATGCTTGTCCTATAATGGCAACTCAGCATCTAACACACACACACACACACACACACCCCACATATATATAGTATGTATTTTTTCCCCAGCTTTTGATCATTATATCATGGATTCCCACAGGCAAACATAGGAACATACTGCTTACTTCTTGATATTTAGCAAATAATAAAAAGGACTATTTAAAGTTATAGTGGAAATAAACTGCTATTCAATAAAACTAACTTAACACTTGACTGATAACTAGTACATAAAAAGTGCACTACTCTAGAGGAGCAGCTCTCAAAGTGTGGTCCAGGGATCTCTAGAGGTTCCTACGACCCTGTCAGGTTGTCTGTAAGGGCAAAACTATTTTCATAATAATACTAAGACAGTATTTGCCTTTTCCATTCTTATTGCCACACAAGTACACAGTGGAGTATCTCCAAGGCTACATGATGTGTAATACTGCAACCGATCAAATGCAGAGGCAGATATGAGAATCTGGCTGTCTTCTATTACGCCTGACATTAGAGAGATTTGCAAAAATGTAAAACAACGCCACTCTTCTCACTAAGCTTTTTTTTGTTATCAAAAATATAGCTATTTTTTAATTAAAATGTTATTTGTTAATATATAATGGTTTGGTATTGCTATTTTTAAATGAACTAATAAATTATTTTTTAAAGTTCTCAGTTTGAATTTTTAATATGGTAAATATTAATAGCTATAACACACATAAACAAAAGCTCTTTGGGGTCTTCAATAATTTTTAAGAGTGTAAAGGGAGCCTGAGACCAAGAAGTTTCAGAAGTTCAGCTCTAGGATATTAAATCCTTCATAATTATATAACATTTTTATAAATTAACAAGAATATTTCTACATAACTTCTGTTTAAGCAGATATATTGATTAGAAGAGAAGGCTTTAGAGGAGAAAAGCAATCTGTCTTGTTCTACTTAAGAAAAATAGAAAAGCATGTACTCTTTTCAGTGGCACTTTTCCATGGCCTTTTACTACCAGACATGAAAAGTAAGACTTACTGTAAAGAAAAGCTCCATAACTCTGCTGTCCAGAAGAGTATCCCGCCAGGACTCTGTTGGCTTTAACAGCACATTTTGTGAGGATTCAAACATCGCTATATAATGTCTGCCCAGTTATCTGCTGTCAAGGTCAACAACAATAACATTCTTACTTTGTCTAAAGTATAAGTATATCCTAAATATAACAGGAGCCATCCAGAAAGAATGTAATGGAAACAGTTTAAGCCTCTTCACATATGCTACATAATTCACGCATGAAGCTAAGGAATAAAAGGCATTAAGTGCTGATAAAAAGAATGCTACAGGAATGTAAGATAAACAGTTTCATTATATGTCATGCTGCAGGGATATAGAAACTTAGATAATCAGAGATCTTAACGGTGGCAACAGAAGGAAAAACAGTAATGCAAAACAGATGCCAAAATATATACAAAAAAAGAAGAATCAATTTCTGCATGTTTATCCCATTATTTCCCCCCAATATCTTATAACAACTAAAACCACATATACAAAATGTGAGTCTCATATAGTCTATTTGGAAAAACCGCATTTTCCTAAAAGAAGCATATTCACTGGGAAACAAAAAAGAATAAGAAAAGCAAACATACATCACATTGAAGAAGAAAAACTCCCACACATCAGAGTATCCAAATACCAGTTTCACCACAAAGAAATAATTAATTTACATGAAACTCTATAGATGCTCATTTAAAATGCCCACAGACTAAAAAATGGTGTTCAATATCAAACATGCTTCAAATAGAATACTGTCTCTGACACACATAAAGTAACCATAATATATCTGTAGGTGTTAATGAACATAATGCACTCAATAACACTGACATAGTAACTGAGATTTTTAGGAAATGGGAAAGCCATTTGGGCATAAAAACAGTAGTTATGCCCCTTCCATTGCTAATCAAATGCCCACTAAAATACATCAACTAGGCAACGTCCTCATCGTTCAATGAGAAATTTCAACAATAGTTTCCTAAACTATAGCTTGCAAAAATCAGATATAAGTTCAAATGCTATATTTTCATTAAAGCCCAAATCATCAGCAGAGAAAATTAAAGGCTGTAACAATGCTTCAGAAACCATTTTTTAAAGATTATTGCTTAACCCCTGTTTTAAGTATCTAATATTATTTTGTCTCTGAAGAGCGAGGAAGGGCACTGCAAGTTATTGCAGAAGAGAAGTCACTGCTTATTTCTGAAAAATCACTCCAAAAACGTGCTTCAACTCTATTTGATTGATGAATAAAAGTGAAACTCAAATAAGGTTCATTTAAATTTCACTTTTCTCTTCCTTTATCTGCCCCCTTGTGGGGATGCAGGGGAAAAATCAAAAGCCAAAAGAAAGGAACTGCTGGAACTCCAAATAAAGAAAGCCTGAATTTTAGAAAGAAAGAAAAAATCAGCTCATAGATACTGAGTTATTGGTAAGTCAATAGTTTCTTAAAAGATTTCATTTTCTCACTAGGTACCTATTTTGGTCTTGGTGCTCTTCTATACTGTGCTCTTCACTTAGAATATAATACACTGAGTGAATATGAGATCTTTTTACAGGTTGTCTAAAAATGAAGGCTTGATTATCTTTTAGAGAAACAAACTGAAATACCTGTGGCTGAAATTATCTGATGTCTAGGATTTGCTTCACAATAACCTGGGATGGGAGAGTGTAGACGAAACAAGAACTTAGAGCTGCTGAAGCTGGGTATTCTGTTTTTGCGCATCTTTGAAATATTTCACAATAAAAGGTTAGGGCATAAAAAAAGGAGAATTGTGAATAGGAAATAAAGCACCCGAGTAAGGCAGTAAACTCTTTGTACTTCATAAAAAATATTCCCTTTATTCTTTTCCAGTTTTAGTCCCTTAATTTTCAATGTCCCATTTTATTAATTAAAAGGCAATTTTTTGGTATATAAATTGTTCAGTGATGAAAAGTATTTATTAACTACTTATATTGAACATTGTGTTAAGCAAAGATGCACAAAGAAATTATAACAATCTAGTGCCATTTTTTTGGGAGTTTGAAATATGATATTAAAATGATAATAAATTGTTCATTTGTTGGATATCCAAATCTAACAAACAAAATATAAGTGTATAATTACTACACACTTCTAACTAGGAAAATAACAGAATTTATTAATACTTTATATGGTTACAAAAGGGGTCATGATTTTATTTTTAGATTAGGTGGGATATGAGATGGATTCACATAACTAGAATAAAATAGTTGGTCTCAAAGCAGACCATTTGTCACTTTTCTCATTAACATAGCCACCAGGCAGCTAGCAAATGCATGCTGCTCTCTCAGAGTAAAAGAGGCAAATATTTCAGGGGCTGATAACTGCAAGAGAAAGTTAAAACCTAAAAGTTCAAGCACAGAGGAAGAATATTGGTGGCAGAAGTAAACGGAGTAATATTTACGGATTTTGCTATTCTTGGAAATATAAAAATTTCATTCTAAGGGAATGAAAAGAATCTCCTGCATTCTAACTAAGCCTGTCAGTTATAATACAGCAAGGGTTTGTCTGTGTTCTTTAGTAAGTGGGAGGAGATAACGTCAAAGATTAATAAACATTACAAAAGGAAACTAAACCTAAACTAACATATTTGTTTAATCCTCATTTTTTTTTTTTTTTTTTTTGGTGAGGAAGATTGTCACTGAGCTAATAATTGTACCCATCTTCCTCTATTTTGTATGTGGGACGCCGCCACAGCATGGCTTGATGAGTAGCACGTGAGTCTGTGCCTGGGATCCGAACCTGCAAACCCCGGGCTGCTGAAGTGGAGCACGCGAACTTAACCACGCCACTGGGCCAGCCTCTCTTTTCTATCTTTTTTAAGTATAAAAAGTGTATGCTCCATAAATATTTGTAGATATCAATTATTTATATTAAGAGGAAATGGAGGGGCCAACCCAGTGACCTAGTGGTTAAGTTTGGCGTGCTCTGCTTCGGCGGCCCAAGTTCGAGGGTTGGGATCCTGGGCATGGACCTACACCATTCATCAAGGGTGGTGACCCACATACAAAATGGAGGAAGATTGGTACAGATGTTAGCTCAGGGCCAACTTTCCTCACCAAAAAAAAAAAAAGAGGAAATGGAAGAGACATAAGTATAAGAGAGGGTTTTTTCCAGATATGAAATGGAATTAATTGCAATTGCTCACCTAAACACCAGGCACAAAATAATGCTCAAATTTTTTTTTTCTAAATTCTGGTTTTAGCCTCTCTTGATCTTGGCCGGTTTTAAACATACCATCCCTAGTACTCAGTCTGTATGGCCAAATTTCCTTTAAAAGCTGACAGCCAGCATATTTTTAAGATTTGAATTCCTTACATGTTGCCAACAGCACATGAAGACCTGTGAGTTTAATATGTGATATCTACCAGAAAATACTTTTCCCCAACATTATTTTAAAGTTCCATGTGAGTTCCAACTCCAAACCTGGAAAGGATTTTTATCTCTGGCATGATAATTGCCTTCTATTACGAAAGCTCATTTGTAACACACTTCTGAAAGACGTTATGCTAATTGTTCTTTGAAGAATTAATCCACAACACTGCAAACTTAACTACCTTCTCTTTATCAGTCAGCCTACCACTACCACTAACAATATCCTTTTTCATAATAAAAATGCACACATACTCCAGTTTGTACAAGACACAGTCACATAACTTAATTACAAATCTCTCTACTAAAAGAACATGGGATCATCCCCAACAGCATTTTAATAAAAAGTTAAACATAAAAACAAAAAGAACAGTATAATAATGAATGGAACAAATTTTCAAGAATAATGCTATCCTGACAAGAAATATATGTTGTAGTTAGCAGATTATACTGTGAAACTGTTAAGTTGTTGTCTCTGAATAGGAGTCTATGAGAACCCTTCTGTATTACCTGAAATATTGTTGTTATAAATGTACACATATTACTTTTAAATTTAAAAAACTAGTTAGAAGCATATCACAATGTGAATAGAATAGTCATATACAGATCTGGACCATATCTGTACATTCAAAATAATGTAAAGAATTAGGGTAATTCAATTTTTAACTTGGTATTACCAATTAACTGACTATTTCTGCATGTACATACAAGAGACTCAGAAATACCACGTCTACCCCAAATAATTCTTAATGTAGAATACTTTAAAAAAAACAAAAGACTACCACTAAAATTCAGAAATCTAGCACTTCTATTATTAAGATAATATTTTAAAAAATGATTTAGGGGCCGGCTCCATGGCTTAGCGGTCAAGTGTGCACACTCCGATGCTGGCGGCCCAGGTTCGGATCCCGGGCGCGCATTGACGCACCGCTTCTCCAGCCATGCTGAGGCTGCGCCCCATATACAGCAACTAGAAGGATGTGCAGCTATGACATACAACTATCTACTAGGGCTTTGGGGGAAAAAAATAAATAAAATTATGAAAAAAAATTATTTAAAGTTTAAATAAAGCAATACTTTCTTTTAATAACAATAGTTCCAGTAAAACAATAGTTTCCTTTTTAAGTTTCAAAAGTTTTGGTTTATAGTACTACTTTAACATGTCATAATATCTAAACATTATATTGCTTTATCTTTTTTATCCAAATACATCACCAACAGATGTCTGACAATAAAGTGATTATTTACTAATTAATCATTTATTACATGTATTATACCCCCGTCAGATTTTAGGAGACAAATGGTCACAACAGATTGATAGCAGTTAAATAAGTTATCATTTACCAAAATTCAAATCAGATTTTAAATCAAGAATTTTCCGAGGCTATGGCTTTATACAATTTTCTAAAATAAATACTGAACTCAGGTAATTTATATTTTGCATCAGAATAATTCATTTATAACCAAATAAAGTAAAATTTAACCAATAAGATAGCCATATAGAGTTGCTTTCAGTCTTTTCCTTTGTGTTTTTAAAAATTTGTCATCCACATCTAATCTGACTTCACCTTCCCATGTTTTCACCAAATTCAAGAATCAGGAGTTACAGTACAATGACTTTTCTGTCATTGTACCAAACACAAGCCCACTCCCTCTTAGCAAGGTTTCCAGCAAGGGTTCAAATTCTGAAGTACTAAGCCCTAACCAGTC